CGTCCGGGAAAAAATGTTTCATGTATAATTATATAAAAAATTTATATATTTTATATACAATTATATATAATTATATACAAAACATGTTCATATATAACATTTTTTCACGGGCGGAGTTAAGATGAGCGCTCATGTTACATATGTTTATTATATTTAAACAGTTATCTTTTGATATAATTTTATTTTCCAATTTAATTACAAAAATGGGTTTCTAACAAATTTTTTGCTAGTGCACTTTTAATATTTTTACATATAATTTAGAACGATATATGTAATTTTTTATCATAATATTAAATTATATATATCAGAATATATTAATTAGATCTCATGTGTAAAATACAACGTTTAATATCAACATTTTACACGTTATCATAAAACATGTTACGCAATAATGATTATTTGTTGAATGAAATTCAATCGGGTATTTTCTAATGTTCCTTAGAAAATCATTTTTTACATAGTGATTTTTTTAAAGAAATTTTTTGGAAACTCTTCTTTCTACTTAATTTTTAAAAGTTTCGCGATTGTTACAATCTTTTCTAAGAGGAAAAAGCTATGGATAAACTTACCAGGTATAGAGACTCGAAGACCTTGCGGCTTTAACACTTCGAAAATCGGATCCGGTAGCACGTAGGGAAACACTGGTTTCACAAGTATACATGCTAGTGCGAAAATCAGTTGAACTATAGCACGATCGACTCTGCAAGAGAGCATGTTAGCGATTATCATTCTTAATGTTGTACACACGATATTTATCAAGTACGAGGTCGCGTACGGTGCTAGAAGAAAAGATTAATACATGCAAGCATCGCGCTTTCAATGATTCACTACTGTTTCTTCCACTTTCTTTGCCCCTTCCTTTACATTTTTCCTTATCCGTCATGCAGATTGCGTCTTGTATAGCTTTGGGATTTCCTCGTTAAAAATATAGCTATTATCGATGTCGAATCATCCGAAATAACTTGTAAAAACAACTATATAATCTCGAGTTGTCCAGACTTTCAGAGGTTAATTAATGATATTCGCACAGTTGAAAGAAAGATAATCCAACTGTAACATAATAACACGAATATTATAATTTCACACGCAACAACATAAATATAACACGCATGTGTACGTAATAGCTACATTACATTAATTGTACTGTAAAATTATAACACTGTTATCAAATGACTATTAATTGATGTTTACCAGGATATAAAAACAATTGTATTTTGTAAATAATGTTTTAAATATAAATTATATGTAACAAATTGTGTAAGTGACATATAAAAAGTTGTAATTTTTTTATAATCTTGGTGACAATTTTTTTATAATTTTTATACAAAAATTGGACCATTTTTTTAGAAATACTCAAAGATATTCGGAAAGTTTACATCTTCTCTCAGAATTTTTCATACATGTGAATTCTGAAATATACTGAAATTTCTCATTCCATAATTTGAAAAATATTTTTTAATTTTTTAGATTTTATAACATTTTATCAGAAATTATACTTACAAATTTTTTTTTATCTTAGAAATCTTACAATATTTCATAATTAACATATGAAAAATTCTAAAAAAAGATGTAGATTTTCTGAGAAATACTCCAATTCATATAAAAAATGTGAAAAAGTTATAAAATTATATAGAAATTTTGAAAAATTGTTAAAAAAAATTTTTACCAGAGAACTTTAAATACCGAGAAAAAATGTTATGTATATGGACATA